CAGCTTGTACATGATTGGATAAGTAGAGTTGTTTAAACATTTGTTTAACAACAAGTTAAAGCTTGGAATGGTCTATTCTTTCATTGGGGTAACTGAAACACGTAAATACACCAGTTTGATTTTTGATACCTCACTAGTATGAAGGCTTGGTTTGGTCTGATATTTCATTGGTGGTAGTGTCTAGGGTCACTGATGAGGAGTGGAATTCTCCGAAACTAGTCTAGCTCATAGACACACACACCCCAATTTAATCTTTCCTCAAATTTTTGTGTAAGTAGCTTTAAAATGCTTAGAGAATGGAGAACGTTTTGAAGATGAAGGACAAAACTAATAAACTTCAAGGCTCTTACGTTCTTTATCGATATTAACAACAGAAGTATTTCGAAACGTATTTGTATTGTTATCTTACTGATCGTAAATAAGGATCTTGTTAAACTCTAGCTTTTTTCTCTTATCATGTACTGATCAAAAAGAAACTTAACTGGCCTATTAGCCATTAATTTTGCTGTAATACAGCAGTAATATAAATCACACTAGATTAAAGATATATTTTCGTATTCGGTTTGTTGGTTAAACCAGGGTTAGTTCCATAAGTAAGATCCCTAGTATTTAGCATCGTAAAATGTTTGCTGACCAAACAAAATTTACCAGCTAAAGTAATGATGCAACATATCCACTGCCGAAACAAAACTTACCTACCAAAAATAAAGGGTTACTAATTAATATTTCCACATATTCACTGACGAAATAAGACTTACCTGCCAAAATAGAAGCTTACTATTTAATATTTCCACATATTCACTGCCGAAACAAGAGTTACCTACCAAAAATAAAGGCTTATTAACCAATATTTCCACATATTTACTGACGAACTAAGACTTATCTGCCAAAATAGAAGCTTACTAATTAATATTTCCACATATTCATTGCCGAAACAAGAGTTACCTACCAAAAATAAAGGCTTACTAACCAGTAGTTTCACATATTCACTGACGAACTAAGACTTACCTGCCAAAATAGAAGCTTACTAATTAATATTTCCACATATTCAATGCCGAAACAATATTTACCTACCAAAGATATAGGCTTACTAATCAATATTTCCATATATTCACTGTCGAAATAAGTATTTCTTTCTTGTTGTTTGTTTTAGAGCAAAGCCACACAAGGCTACCTGCTTTGTCCACTGCGGGTAATCGACCCCCGGATCTTATAGTTGTAAATCTGTAAACTTACCACTGTCACACCAGGAACGACAATTATTATCTAGCAAAGTAAATCACTCTAGTATTTAAATTTGCTACATGTTTATTGGTCTCACAAGTGTTACCTGCCAAAGCAAGAGCGTAATGATTCAATACTGTTATATGTTTTTTTTGTTACACAAGTAGCACCTGCCAAAGTAAAACACGCTAGTATTTAATGTTGCTACATCTGGTTACACATGTCTTACCTGCCAAAGTAAAAAGGTAGTGATTGACTTTCCGTAAGTTGTCTGTCCATTCTGAATAAAGGGATACAAATACGAAAAGAAGTCTCTGGGCGTGAAACGGTGCCCAGCAAACAAAGAAGGCGACCACCACAGCAGCTAGAAATAGAAACTTCTATAGTGATCGGTTTTCTTTATATAAGTTATGTACTTGTTCTTTCTTTTACTCTACGTGTTAGGTTATTACAATCAAAACACAAATACAATGACGTAAATATTAATGAAACATCAGTTATAATGCATTTATTTTTTTATATTATATCTCGTAGTTACCACAACTCCAATGGAAACAATGATCATGTCATTTTAGAAATTACTCTGGCAAACATAATAAGGTGTATCACAACAGTCTTGAACGTTTTTATTATTAACAAAGGTAAAAGAACAACTTTAAATGTTTGTATTACTAACAAACGGATAGCCTTCGATTTTTCTTTTTATATTTAGTACTTAAAGTTGTTTATTTTGACAAACTTCTGAACCATAAATTTTCTTCAGCAATCCCTTTACTTTACTAACCTTGTTTCTTCTTAATTTATAAAGTTTCCTTGTTAAAGGTAGGTATGAATTAAGTAAAAGTATTACAAAACAAAATGTTCATGACCGGTTAATTTATTTATTTACATGTGTTATTGGAGCAAACTTTCTGCTTTATTCAGTAGCCATTATGAGACGAAAACACGACTTTCTGTAAAGCTGGGATGGGTTGAAAATATAATAAAAACAGAAAAAGCAAATAAATTAATACAGTGAAAAAATGTGCATTTTAAATTTGATTTTATATTCGCTATTCTTTTCTCGTAAGTCCGAAAAATGTGCAGTACGATTCAAATTACATTAAACCTATTATTACATTAAACGTATGCAACAATTTCTGGTTAAAATTACCAATTTGGTTATTAGTGTTCTTAAATGATCTTGTGGTTTTGTCCAAAAAGTTATGTTTTTACGCAAAAATGAACAATTGAGTACAAATCTCATTAGCTTTGTTGGTTTCCATAAAAACAAGCGATTTCATGTAAATAGAACCTTCACTTGTACGTCAGTTGACATCTGAGATATATTTTTAATATGATACTTTGAAAGATTAAAAAAAAACATGGTTTTATAGTATACTATGTGATTACCCAATTTTAACTGAGTACAAAATGTATTAAAAAATCTCAGTTTGTCTCGTCATACTAACCTAGAAGCCTTATTGCTATTCTTTGAGATTGTAGTTTCATGCGATGTCCTTCTCCCTGGCACTTGGTGCTGCCCTCTGACGTGCATCTGTGTATCTTGCGAGACCGGTGAAGAGTTATTGTTATCCTAATATAGAGCACAATGATCAGCGTTAGTGGAACAACAAAAAATAAAAATGTCGAACAAACCATTAGCGTCTCCCAGCTCTTATCTGGTTCGTGGAAAGGAAATCCGCACCATGCTGATTCGAGTAAAAGCTTCTTATTATCGTCCTTCAGATAATTGATCCGATTAAAGAGTCCGTATGGCGCTGCGCCTGCCAAGGAAAAGATCCAGATAATTATGATGTTCCGAATGGCATGAGATAAGTTGGACTTAGTCTGTTGACGGATGGGATGACAGATTGCGATGTAACGTTCCACACTGAATGTTAAAATCGTGAGAATAGAAGCGTCGGCCGTGGTTTCTGGGATTATGGCACGAAGCTCACAAATGACACGTCCTAAGCCCCAGGGGTATTGGTGCCATAGTGTATAAAGTTCCAATGGCATAGCTGTGCAAGTATACCGGAAACAAACATTGTTTAAAGGTTATCAATTCCAATTCAGTTTATAATCACGAAAGTAAATACATAAATATTTTATTGAGAACTTAAATTGAAATAAAAACAAAACCCGTCCAAGCTGACATAGCCGAAGCTTCAACTTAGTAAACTATTTTTAAGGTTCGATCGGAACCTCAAAACCTAAGTTAAACCACAGTAACAAAGTAGTTCAAAACAAGAGTTTGTGATTCCTAGAATAATAACAACCAAACGCAACAGCGACAACGGCTAACAGAATGTGCAAGAATCTATTATAAAAGCACGATATTCAGCTCATTAACTAAAAGAACTAACTTTCCAATAAATAAGTTGCAAAGTATATTATTCAAGCTAGTCATTGAGCAACAAAGGCTAGTACTACATATCGCTTGATAAGATGTTTGTTATCTACTTGTTGCTCTTTTACTTAACGTAGAAATTTATTATCCTAGGAACTAACATGTGGCTTAGAGTTAGTTAATCTCTTCTATATCAGAATTCCCCGAATTAATAAATTCGTAGAAGTTTATAATTCAATATTATCTAAATAGTCTTTCAATACTTCGTTGTTTGGTTGGTTTTAGGGTAAAGCTACCGGCTATCTGCGCTCTGTCCACCGCAGAAAATGGAACCCCGGATGTTAGCGTTGTAAGTCTACGAACTTATTGCTGACCCATTGAGGAAAGCTCTCAATAGTAACTTGATTATTGGAACATTAAACTTTGAATAGATTAGTAAAATAAGAAAGTGTATTGCATCTTTCATCATTGGTAAACATTTTGGGCGATTAAAGTTAGTCCTTTAATTAACATTGGACATCAGTCTTTTGTGTACCACAAATCACCGCCAAGGAGGTTCTTCTTATACCACAATAAATCAGCGAGGCTTTACCTGAAGCAGCCCAAAAATTATATGAAATGGACTTGTATGCAGTACCTACACTTCTAACACTAAGATGCAAAACAATTAATATGACATAAGAACGTCACCGTACAGAAACAGAATATTACGAATAACTTTGTAAGATCAAGAAAACACTATACAGACTCCAGTTATTAAAAATGCAATAGATTTAGAAGAACATTTTTAACAGTTTCTATGATTAACGTTATTTTAGAAACAAGAAACATTTTAGTCGTTAATTTAGAATAAAAGCACTAAGACATCATTAGCAATTTCTGTCTTCATCATTACCCTAAAAACAAGACAATACTGTATAAACACATTAGTTGCTAATTTAGTATAAAATCGCTAGGACATTATTAGCAATTTCTGTCATTAGCATTAGCTTAAAAACAAGACAATTCTGCATAAACACCTTAGTAATTAATCTATAATAATAAAAGGGCGTGTCTGAGTAGGTGTGACAGCCATAGCTCCAAGAGGAAAGAACCTAGAAATCTGAAATTGTGCACCCATACTAAGTGGACCCTGAGGGTGCGCACCTGGATATTATAACTTATCACAGTATATCCTGTACTGTATCAGTTAGATTAACAACTTATAACATATAGAAAAGCCAGTGTGTTTTGGTAACAATGCGTTCCAACAGTGGCTTTTATGTCATGTCGCTTAGCAACAAAAGAAGCAATACTATTATTCTGCTTGTTTGTATGTATGATCGTTACACTTTCTGACCGAGAACCTGCTGCATAAACATGCGTAGTTAGAATGTTTCCCCAAGAAAAATCGCGCATGCGCATTATTCACTCGACGACAAATAGTCTGCCTGCGGCAGAGAGCTGCAAAGCTCAGTGATCAAGTCGCTACAATTGCTGTATGAAACAAGAAGACACAACAAAAGGGGAATGTAAATATACTTTACTAACCATTTTGTACAACAGAATATTAAAAATTTATCCAAATTTTTGAAAAAAGTTTGACGTTAGGTCGTAGAATAACATTATAAGTTTC